AGGTCAAAGGTATGCGTAACGAGATAAGAGAGGTAATATGGACTATGACAGTGGGGGTCAGATATATCAGTTATGAAGGTGTAGACTTTCTGATTGGCAATTTAACTGACATGAAAATGTAAATACTTTTTTTTCAGATCTGTATTTACTTAATTATAATCTGATTTAACCAAGCTTGATAATCACTTTAGAAATAATATTCATGTATTTTTGTATTGTATATAGTAATATGTTATACAAAGTTATAAAATACTTCCTAGCAGGAAGAACAATAATTGCATATAAGAAGTTTCTTATATACTTATCATAAGTTATATGTACAAGTATTACTGGATAGTGTCTGCTGTGCATGATAAACAAGTTTAGAATATAATTAATCAAGAATTGCTGTAGACAAGACGTTTACTTTGTTACAGTTGTATGTTATATTTTTTCTTATACACCTTAGATATATTTTGAGTTAAATTTATTCTAGCACACACACACACACATATACATATATATATATATATATATATATATATATATATATATATATATATATATATATATATATATATATATATATATATATATATATATATATATATGCACAGACAGACATACATTTCCATAAGAAACAAATCATAATTTTCAAAATTTTAATAACAAAAATAAACACCATAGTTGCAAGCCAGTTGTTTGTGTTCCTTGCTTGTACACAACATTGTAACAGCCAAACACACATATAAACTCTTATACACAAAGACGCACATACATTTCCTTCCATTTGTACGTACATACATACATACATACATACATACATACATACATACATACATACATACATACATACATACATACATACATACATACATACATACATACATACATACATACATGCATGCATGCATGCATGCATGCATGCATGCATGCATACATACATATGCATGCAGGCCTGCCTACCTACCTACTTATCTACCTACCTACAGACATACATTGCTCTCTAAGTGTCAATACTTATACATCTGCGGCTAAAATTGCAAAAGATGAGGCAGATATTAACACATTAACTTTCTTTGTCGTCAGACAGTCCACTTCGAGCCGGTTTTACTTTCGTTTTTTAAACTGGATGCATCTCCTGTTTGATAGGAGGCCAAAGGTTGTACATGGAATTGTCTGGAGGTAGGGTCTATTATATTCCAGGAAAATGAAGGACAAGCAAGGTCACTGGCGTCGATTTGTTAGGGGTCGAGGTCGATATCACTGAATCGCGTTTGTTCCACAATTTAATCGTTTTTGCGAGGAGAAAAATGGTCTGTAGCTTGTAATTTAGATATATCGTATGTACCCGCTTATGAGCTGAACCCAATTTAATATATCGTATGTACTCGCTTATGAGCTGAAACCAATTGCAAACAGTCTATACCCTGCGCGGGCAGATCGGGTCTGTTGTTTGTTCCGATTACTCCTAAAAAATGCATAGACCTACTGACTCGTTATGCGATCTGCACAGTTTGCAGTTAAATTCGACTTATAAGCGAATGTAAACGGTAAACACGAGAATTCGTTTCGTGATAAAGAGATAGCTATAGGTAACTGTAAATAGTGGGATTTTGGGTAAGACACTGTCTTATGCATCCTTGGGTAAATTGTAATCTACTGTGCACACGTCTTCCATGATAATGGGATATCATTGAGGATGACACACACACACACACACACACACACATATATATATATATATATATATATATATATATATATATATATATATATATATATATATATATATATATATATATATATATATATATATATATGTGTGTGTGTGTGTGTGTGTGTGTCAAATATCAAGCTGCAGTGATAAAATTTGTTGGGAGTTTGTGGAATTAATTTATTTTATTTTATTTCTTATGTCCATCTTTGATATTGCCAGTTTTTGTGAATTGCTTGTCATACGATTTTGCACTTATCTGCGCAAAATGTCCATTAATTATACATGGGAGTGTGAAAATGAGTAGGTTAAAAGGTCAAAAGCTCACGATTCGGTCTATTTTTGGTTATAAGTAGCTTTTCAAGATAACTGTATTTTTATCTCCATTGATAATTTATCATTGCAGTTCATTTTGAATCAATTTTTATTGCGACAAGGTAGTGCTTTATAAACCTTCCCATGCTTGTTTTTATGCGTGCGTGCTTTTGTTATTGTTGTTGTTGTTGTTTGTAGAGTTTTACGCCATTTCTAAGCACAAGATAGGTTATACACGGCAGCCAGGATCAATAGTGGAGGAAGAACTCGGAGAAAGCTTACTCACGTACACACATTGACCGTACCCAGAGCTGACACGCAGAGGTGAATGGCAATGATCCTCAACAGTGAACGCTTTAGACCACTAAGCCAATCAGGGCCCCAGGGCCCCCTGCGTGCCTATGTAATTTATATATCTGTCTACAGCGTTACGTATGCATATTGGGTGGATTTAATTAGAAACTTGAGATATAATTACTAGACAATATTAACATATTTTAACTAGAAGTCTTGTCCTGAATGGAAACGCTACCAATCTTTCGTCCAATATGGCTGCCTCAGTGGCGAATTGGAAATCATATTGCTCAAGAATATGAGATGGATTCAACACTACAGTTAGAATGAAGAAATGATCTTACATTCAATGCCAGGACAGTAGAACGCCTGTAGTTTCGTGTGACTTGTAAAATTCATGAAGATCATCGATGCAGCTTTGCAGTCGAGCCTTCGCGACATTCGTTACAGGCTAGATAATAAATGTATTAATTAATTCCCACTCCACTTGGAACAAGTTTAATAACGCCAAATTAAAATTTTGAATACCACAAAATTTGAAGAGTTATTTTTTTAATCATTCAATAATGTAACATTAGGTAATTTCGCATACATTTACGCTTAACACGGCGATGCCTATGCCAATATATTTAACTTTGCTAAAGAAGAAGAAAAAATCACCGATAGTCACAAACGTGGAGAAAGAAAGAAACAAGAACACAGTATGAGAGAGATCAATAAAATTCAATTCCGAATAAATGGGTTTGACAAGACCAAATAAAGATTAATGTTCTGGTGGTAAGTGGAATTCCCGATCCGCTATTTTGAGGTAACCCAATTAAACAGAGCTTGAAACAAGCTGTTACAACGACGTATTTGACTGTCATGAATGTGACATTTGTAATAAGACCATCTATCGGTCTCCACCACAGCTTCGTTATTTCGGAAACTTTGATTTCGATCTAATTGATCACACACGATAGAATCAGAATTAGGATCATACAACTTATGTCTTTTTACTCTCTAACCGGAAAAAAACAAAAACAAATAAGCATCCACGAACCCGCGATGTCACAATCTTGCTGAACTTGGTGTAAACTTGTTTTGAAGATGAAAAATCTCCTGATAAAGACAATTTTTGAGTTGTTGTTGTTACGAGTCTCTGCTCTTAAAATAAGTAACAGAAAAGAGTGAAGACAACAAGCTAACAAATAATTTATTTGCCTAGAATACATCGTGAAAATGAGAAAAACGAACTTACGGTTATGCGAATTGAATCAAAAAATAATCGAAGAACTAAAGACATAAGTCCTAGAAATAAAAGTCCTAAATAAAGTTGAGTTCAAGTACCGAAGAAATTTAAAATTGAAGGTAATGACGTGTCTGTTTTGGCCTGCGTCGTACTGATGTGTCAAGAGTCTCTTGCTGAATCGCAAAAATATTATTTCAGGTTTGAATTCAGTATAAATTCCCATGAATGTCTTTATCCAAGAATTTTGTCAGAGCATCTTATTATTTCCAGAGAAATTAATCACTTGAAATCAATAATTTGACTAAAATAAAATTCAGCCCAAATTTAAAGTGCATAGCACAACTAGTAAAATTCTGTCAGTCACAAGATAATATAGCTTTCTGTTTGAGCTCAGGTCATAAATGAGCATTTTCTAAAAGCAACCATTACCTAATGGAAAATAACATTCTATGATGATTTGATGAGCCTTGTTTATTTAAAACAAAATAGCTTATTAAATTTACTTTGGATTCCCCAAACCATGACCCAAATCAACATATTTACCCCAATAGCATTTCCGTTAATTAGCTCATACACTTACAGAATATTGAAGCTATTTTTTGTTGTTTACATAAATGATATAAGAAATTTTAAAAAGTCAATCAGGTCAAACATAACTGAACGCAGATCTGGACAAGGTCAAGTCCAGTATACAATATTATATTACCATAGCATGTAATGGTTGTTGTTGTTGTTGAGCTTAACGCCATTTTTCAGCACACGATAGGCTATTCATGGCGGCCAGTATTAATGGTGGAGGAAGAAACCGGGAAATCACCGGAAAGAACCACCGACCCACGAGAAGCTACTGGCAAGCTTTCTCACATATCCACATTCGCCGAATCCTAGACTCGAACCCACGCAGACACAGGTGAGATGGCAGTGATCCGTAACGGACAGTATTTTAGACCCCTCGGTCACTCGGGGCCCCAGCATGTAATGGAATTAAAAAAAATACAACTAACAGACAAACAATTAAATTAAATATACTTAATGTACTTTCCTCAAATGTTCAACATATTATAAATTACATCGAACTGCTATCACACGATACCCATTCTAATGTTTGGGTGACCTTGAAGTCTCATGCATGATTAAGAAAGTAATAAATGACATTCCAACAAAGCATTAAAAATAAATTTATTTACGTGCTAAAAATACAATAAGATAAAATAGATTATGTCAATCAAACGCTCTTATCTGTGAGAGATTCCACTTCTCGAGAGGAAAGAGATAAATAAATACAAATCGAACTAACATATCACAATTCCCTCTCCGTTTTTTTTTTCTTGTGTTACCTGCGCTTAATGTATCTGTTGCGATTAGAACACCAATTGGTTACCAATTGTCGACAAAGGCAGTTTCAGTGACGTCATTTAGATTCAGGAATATATTTAATTTACCTGACATTTTGCAAATTTGCTCGCTCCGGTGGCCTAGTGGTTAGAGCGTCTTCCTCGGATGCGGGTGGTCATGGGTACGAACCCCGGCCGAGTCATATCAAAGACTTTACAAATTGGTACTAACAGCTAGCTGCCTCGCATGGCGCTCAGCATTAAGAGGTTAGTGTTAGGACTGGTTGGCCTGGTGTCAGGATAATGTGACTGGGTGGGACATGATGACATATGTCTGCGACATGATACTCCAGTGCTAGACATCACAATAAACTCCCACACTGCAGACATCGTAGCGATATGACTGAACAATTGTTAAAGCTACGTAAAAATCTAAATCACACACACACACACACACACACACAAATTTCGCAAATTTTAAGCTTGAACAGAAAGGGTGATGCATTTGTCAGCAAGTCTAACATCGACCCAGTGGCTTTACTAGGGTTTGTGTCATCCAGTGTGGTAATTCATGGTGGACCTCCATCCTACACAAAAATTCAAAAATTGTATGCACAATCATTTTGCTGTTCCCTCTCTGATGGTGTCACCCTGTACTATAGAGGGGTAGTATAGCCCTTATGTGCCAAAGAAGGCAACTCAGTCTGGGTTACTATGGCCCTCTGATTTATAGACCCGAAAAATCAGAGTAGGTTACTGTAGCTCCCAATGGAAGTTTTATATTAGCACACGCTATGCCTGTCTAGCACCAAGAGGAATGGAACAGGTAGGGTGACGTCACGGTACTGGTAATTGACAGCACCGTAGCAAGGCAGTACTGTGACGTCAGTCCACCTGTGTCATTGCTATAGACAAACACGAATCAGTCGCGTTCGTGTTTTAATAGAATATGTTTTATATGTTCGGTTTTTCTCCATAGATTGATGAACATCTATCCAAATTATAAACTCGACTAAAATAAATTTTTTAGGGAAGAGAGAAAATAAATATTTATACAAATTATAAAATCGAAAAAAAATTTTAGGCAAGAAAGAATTATTATTCTTTCGAGGCATATGGAGTGGCCCTCATAATGACCGTTGTTTGTTATGTTAACACCATTCCGTTAATTTAGAGGCATCGCATAGGTCTTCTCTTCCTCAAACTTCGTCTAACCTCTGGTACATAAAACAGAACTCTCTCTCTCTCTCTCTCTCTCTCTCTCTCTCTCTCTCTCTCTCTCTCTCTCTCTCTCTCTCTCTCTCTCTCTCTCTCTCTCTCTCTTCAGACATCCTTGTCTTTCCACATATATCCTTCGTTTTCAAAGGGCTGTATCAGCGATCTGGGTAGTGGCCCATGATGATCTGACAGATATGGGATTATCCATGTTGAACAGCATCGATGATAGGAGGGTAGACGATTATACGTTGGTCCACATCTTTGTGACGAGAACGGGTGAAGGGAATGAAGTGAACCGCCTTTATGTATAGTGGAAGACAGGATCGAAACGGATTGAAAATGTTCACCAATCCAAACATGAGTTACAAAATTCAGTCACTTCGCGTAGTTTGTCTTTCAATCCGACGAGAGCTACCCGTGACGTCACATTCCCTATATAGGTGCGCTAGAGTCTGTGCGCAGTGAATCGATGCGACTTTGTTTTGTGAAACATGACGGAACCTAAGAAGATGATGAATTTGGGCGCACTGGTTGTGGAAACTAAAAGTGTTGGCATAATAGCGGTTACCAAAGTTAACACAGCGCTACTTCTCGAAGAGGTTGATTTGAATGTATTTAGGAGATTGTCTCTCTTCGCAAGAATTTGTTCCGGTACCAGGACCTTCGCCTCTTTCTCCTTCTTTATCACACGTCGACGACTTAAAGGAAAAACAGAAAAAAGAATTGGAGACGGAGATTTTTTTTACAGAAGCAGAAAGAGGCAGGACAAGCATTTCTCCTTGAACAGCAACAGCGAGAAGAAGAAGAGGCAAGAAGGAAACAACAGAAAGAAGAAGCATTCGAGAAGAAACAAAGGCTCGAGAGAAGGAGAAGATCGAAAGTCAAAGGGTAACGGTTTTCTTGGACATTTCGACTGAGTTAAGAAGTCTGAAACAAATGTATCAGACTTCTTTATTAAGACCCAACAGATAAAGACCTTCCCGAGCCAAACATCCTAACCCTGTGACTACACTAGAGTTCACCCCTAGTGATTTCTATTAAATCATTTACAGGAGCAAGTCCACAAGTAGACCTTGGCTGTGGAAAAGGCTAAAGGCAATTAAAGCGGATTGCTTCTCGTTCATGAGTTTGTTCTAAGGGGAAAAAAACACCCAACGGTCCTCTTCATGGCCACTCACTTCTTTCGAAAAGAGAGACTGTTCATTTTGCCAAAATGAAGTAAAACTCAAAATCCCTCATTTGACCATACGAAGTAAGTGTTGTGAGTTTATGAGTGTAGGTCTTTATTATTCTAAACAATCAAAACCAAGAGTCACTTGCGTTTTCAGTCTGGTCTATTTTTATACAAATTTATACAATTTAATATCACAACATAACTTTCTCTCTCTTAAACTTCTTCACTTTTACTTTGTACTCTTCTTCTTCTTCCTCACCTTTTTATCGTCTTCTTTTTTCAATCTTCTCTATCTGAACGTAACGGAGTTTTTCCTTTGCTCTTTTTCTTCTTCTTCCTCCTGTTGATTCTTAGGGCACCAGTGTCAGTTTCTCTTAACAGTGAATACAGGTATCTTGAATTTTGTCTCTTCTGACACTGGTCTTGCTTTTATGACGATCTGGACATTTGGTAGCCCAATGTTCATTTTTCTTCTGAGTTATAGCAAGTATCTTGACTTTTATCACGAAAGGAGGTGAGTAGTCCGTCTGCTGGTCTGAAGAAAATTTTCGTATGACACCTCGCAAAGCTCTAATCAGAAGTTTGATCTGTGTGGTTTGTTCCATTGTGTTGATCGGTTTGAGAGTGAAATGAATACTGAAAGGGAAGTCACCAGCCCTTTATATATTCATTAAGCCTAACATTGATATATAAGGGTCCATGGCGTTTCATATGTAGTCATTTGACTATAAAATCAAGATGAAACGATCACATCATATCGTAAAGAAAGGAGAAGTAAGAGGCAGAAACGTGATTTATTTCCTCGCACAGTAGCTGAAGTCTTGGCTCAAATTCATGCCATCGATTTTGAAGATAAGATAAGTGAACCATAATCTAAGCACAGAGTCTACACTCAAAGTCCGTCACTACCAGTAAACCCTAAAAAGTACTACCACATTCGAGAGACGGACAAACGCTCATCTATAAAATTAAGAACCACGTCCTACACGTACATGGTGAAGTTTAAAGATCTCAAGTCCAACGTACGGTTAGAGAAAGCAGAAGGGTTCATCACCGATGTGTGGGATTCTTTGTTAACAACACTGCAACGGCAATATCAAGCGAAAGAAGACAATCGATTGAAACTTTCTATTCATCACGAGAATTTGAAGTCCCCCGTTTGGATCGAGTTTAGCAGCCCAGCATAATTGACACCTTCCAAAATCATCGACAAGAATCAACACGTGCAGCAATACAACAAGTTTCACATCACCGAGGAAAAGGGAACACTCTTCATGACCCACCTTTCTCTTCCCCAAGGGGCAAGACATGGTAAAAAAAAGTTTTCTTGGTAGACATTCTTCGCAGCATCATGCTCAGCATCGTTCAATTAACAACCCCCAAGACTAGATGTGTTAGCTTGTGCCTTCGAAGTGGGACGAACGTATGCGGATAAAAATGACACGACCTAATTGATAAGAGCCTGGACAACTATTCGACAATCGAACCGAAACAAACAACTAAAGAAGCAGAATTCCTGTTATAGCAAACGGAGATATCCAAAGACAGTTCATGCGGCATTCCTGAAATGCAAAAATTTGCAAGACGTCATGGTTCCACACTACACATTGAAAGAACTATCTTGATTCATTGCCCTCACTGTAGCAAGATTCCTGGAGGACGTGAAAAACTCTTTCGGGGATCGAACACATTGGCCGATTTTGTTCAATGGATCTTAAACACTACAGATGAAACGTGGAGCTATAAAGACATTGAACGTGACGGAGATTGTCATCGCTGTGCCACGGTGATTGCTCACAACTTATTGGAATACGATGGATAGTTTCTGTTGAGATACTACACAGAACAAAGTAAAGAACGTCCTAAAGTGACTCTGAACAGAGCAAAACTCATTTCCATGCAAGTAGGTCAATTTCAATTTAAAGATTCTATGAGTTACTTGGCCATGCCTTCGAGTCGCATGCCTAAAACGTCTGTTTTGACAGAAATGGCCAAAGGCTATTTTTCACATTTTTTCAATACCGAATCCAATCAACATGCTGTTCTAACCCATTTGCCTGAGGATCACTATTACGACCTCGCGAACATGCGTACCGACTCACGCCTCGGACCCTTTCGACTTTCAGCAAGAAATATTAAAACATTGCCGTTCCGACGTGGAGATTTTACGGCGTTGCTGTGGAAAATTTCGATAATTGTTCATAAAGCACGTATGTATTGATCCTTTCAAAGAATCCTGCACCATTGCCAAAACTTATTAATTTGTGTACCGACAACGATTTATGCCCGAGAACAAGCTAGCTTTCATCAGTCCTCAAACCATTTTTATCAGACGTCAATACATGGTTAAAGCCCTACGCTAGTTACATTACTTGTATGACAAGGAAGACAAATGGATCCAATACGGTCTCAACGGACGAGGTGAAAGAGCCATCGAAAGGTATTCAGTAGATGCCTGGGACTTGGAAAACCCCAAGATCATGTATGTGTGTAACGTGTGCTTATTTCACAGATGTCCTATCTACTACACTCATCGTGAAATGGTTTTACAACGGACCATGGAAGATTTGTACCAAATCACTTGTCAGCAACACTTGAAGTTAGAACAGAATGGATACCAAGTTTTAGAAATGTGTGAACACAGGTACGATCAGCGATTGAAAACAGATCCCGAGTTTAAGTTTAAGCGCATCGTGGAAAGTTACAAGCTGGTGGACCAATTAACCCAAGGGACAATTTGTACGGAGGACTGACTTCACGTTTAACGACACAATCATAGCAGAACCCGACCCTGACAATCCTCACAATGTT